GTGTGTGTGTGTGAAGTTTATTTATTTATTTCTGAGAGAGACAAAGATAAAGCAAGTTGGGGGTTGGGGAAGAGAGAGAGAGGGAGACAATCCCAAGCAGGCTCTGCACTGTCAGCACAAAGCCCGACATAGGGCTCCAACTCCCAGAACCATGAGATCATGATCTGAGCCGAAATCAAGAGTCAGATGCTTAACCAACTGAGCCACTCAGGCACCCCCAGGCCAGCTTTTTATGCCAGTAAATATAACCCATGACATGTAGGTGTGTGTGTGTATACTGACTTGCTTCAATTCTCTATCTCATTGTACAGACTGTCAGTGAGCCACCTTACTTCCCTCATGGAATGGGATGAAGGATGAAAGGAAGGGGAGGAAGAAGAGACAAAGGTATGGACAGCAGGAAGGAAGGAAAGTGAGAAGGAAGGCTTTGTAACACAAGACTTTGAAATCATTCCTTGTAACGTGTGGTTCCTGAATTCCTCTAATTGGCATGAATTTTCACTGCATACAGTACTTTCTCAGGTGCTCTTTGCCTTCCCTGGGGTTAGTTTTACTTCCTGACTGGCCATGAGCCTTCACCTATTATCCCTGTGCAACTGTGAGTTTTCATAAATGACGCCACTTGAGGGTTGTCACGGGTTCTGGCTCACTCCAGTGTCTGATGACTCCTAGAGTCAGCTCCTCATTATCTATGTGGACATTGGGTACTTTGTGTTCTGGCTGCAAATGCTTCATCCAAGGTCAATTTCCCTCCAGGGCTCAGCACCATTTCAGACAATATGTGCTCAGGGAATGCAAATTAATTTCATGTTAGCTTTAGCCAAAGCCAGCTAGGAGAGTAAGCGTGCTTTTAAAAACACCACAAACACTGATAAACATCTTTGGACTTATGTGCTGTTTGTGCGTGAATGAATGTATAAAATTTCACCCGAATTCCAAAGGCAGAGCGTTTTTAAATACTCCTGTTCGAATGAGTCTTATTTTTGTTCTTTGATTAGAAGTGTCTTTTAATTTGAAATTATTTAAATATCTTTGTCATTATATTTTGTTACAACTGGGGGCTGTCAGGATGGATTGAAGTTACTTGCGTCATGTTTTTCTTTGATTATAAAAATGCAATGCATACCAAAAAAAATGCAGCACCACGTGCTTATAAGAGAAAATGAAGAAATACAGAAAACTCTGGAGGAAATGAAACCATTTGTAATCCCTTCACACAGAAATGACCATGATGAACATTTTCCTACAGCTCTCCCAGACTTTCTTTTTTTTTAAAGATATTTTTTAATGTTTACTTATTTTGGGGGGAAGAGGGGCAGGGACAGAGAAAGGGAGATGCAGAATCCGAAGCAGGCTCCAGACTCTGAGCTCCCAGCACAGAGCCCGACACGGGGCTCGAACTCACAAACCAGGAGATCATGACCTGAGCCGAAGCAGGACACTTAACCCACTGAGCCACCAGGTGCTCCTCTCCCACACTTTCTTAAGGTTGTAGAAGTTCTCAAGGTGGATTTGTAGATTGCTTCCAGACAAAAAAGGGTAGTGTTTTCTAAAGTTCTAAAGGTACCCTTGGATTTACTAGCATGTTCCATGAGGCCTCTCTGTCTGACCTACTTTTCCTTAAGGAGAAGCCATATCTTTTTTTTTTCTGGCCACGAGCCTAAGCTTTATGCTCCATTGGAGCTGGGCTGGAGAGACTGGGCTGGGAAAGACCAGAGCACCTGGGACCCGAGGGCTGTCCTAGCTGAGTTCTGGTGAGTTGGAGCATCTGGCTTTCTAACCACACCCAGAAATTTGTGTTCTTGCCCCACACTGTATGCCAGGAAGAGGGCAGGGAGGGCTCCCCATCACCCTGGCAACACGCCTATACTGTTCCTAAACTCAAAGGGTTGTGCAGCCAATGTTTTCACACCTCTCAGCTCTTTTTTTTTTTTCCTGGAACGGGGTTCCTATTCTTTTTTTTATTTTTATTTATTTTTTATTTATTTTTTTAATTTTTATTTTTTATTTAAAAATTATTAATGCTTATTTACTTTTGAGAGACAGAGAGAGAGAGCACGTGCGAGTGACTGGGGGAGGGGCAGATGCAGAATCCGAAGCAGGCTCCAGGCTCTGAGCTGGCTATCAGCACAGAGTCCGAAGTGGGGCTCAAACCCACAAACCGTGAGATCATGACCTGAACCGAAGTCGGATGCTCAACCGACTGAGCCACCCCGGTGCCCCATGTGTTCCTGTGCTTTTGGGGGATTCTCCCCAGGTCTTCACTCCAATAATGGGGAGGTTTGATTGAGGCTGCCAGTCACTGCTCCCCCTCCTCCCAACAGGGCAGCGCCTACCCCGGGCCAGGCCAGGCAGAGACCTTCCCTGAGGTTTGCAATGAGAACCAAGGAACTAGGACCTTTTCTCCGGTAGCAGAACGGAGACGTGAGCCCCGTGTTCCAGGGTCTGTGTTCTGTGATATGTCAAAGAGGGAGATGCATGAAGAGGTCGTGACCCAGTCCTCAGAGAAGAATGGAGAAGCGGGGACCACAGAGGGAGGGGGGCACCCTCCAGGTCTCCTGGATTCTCTTCCAAAATTTGAGTTTTCCATTTCGTTTTTTCAATGTTTTACTTTTATTTTAAAGAGAGAGACACAGAGCACAAGCAGGGGAGGGGCAGAGAGAGAGGGAGACAGAACTTGAAACAGGCTCCAGGCTCTGAGCTGTCAGCACAGAGCCCGACGCAGGGCTCGAACCCATGACCCGTGAGATCATGACCTGAGCCGAAGTTGGACACTTAGCTGACTGAACCACCATCCAGGCGCCCCTAAGTGTTCCCTTTCTTATATTCTATGACCTATGCTAGGAATTCTCCCTACAAATGAATTCTGAATTGGTTTTCTGTCACTTACAACCAAAAGAACTCTGAGCAATAGGGCTGGACTCTCCCCCAAGCCCTCCTCTGTCTCCCGGACTCTCTAAAGTTCTCTGGCTTCTCCGCTGTCTGGATTTCTCTGGCTTTCCATGCCTCAAAAGCCCCAGGTTCCTAACATAGCAGACCCCTCTCCCCGTCTTCAGGACAATCTCTAACTCACTGTGGCAGGAAGCAGCTGTGCTTAAGCTGATATTTGTTCTTAAAGAGTTGCTGGTGAGTTGTGAAGCGTTCTCAGTTGGTAGAATGTGCTAGAAGGCAGGGGGCTTCCTCACCTATCCTTATTCTGGACTTGCACTTTGAGAAATAGACCCAGAAATGGTTCTATCAGCTCTGCTCCCTTCCCACGTACCCCACCCTCCTCTTTGCCCGTGGCTCTCCACTCCTGCGTCTCAGTTCTAACACACAAAGTGCTTTCTTGGAGACAGTGGGAGTTAGTCCTGCAAGATTCTAGAGCTCCGGCAGCTCATACTTCCCCGAAAGCAGACAGCTGAGCGCTTCTTAACCTTTAACCTTATTCTGCAATGTTGCAATGGCAAGAATCATCACTTACTTTAAAAGAGGTGGCAGACGGCATGGCTGAAATCAAGAGAATGTTTCTAATCAAAAGCCAATCAGCACGATGCTGAAAAAATTCTATAAAACCATCCTAATCCTGCAAATGATATCAACCCTGGCTTTGCTGGCTTTTCCGAATGGACCTTGAGTTATGGCCGAAGAATGGCTTGAGTTATGGCTAAAGATGGGCTTGGTTTGTTCAGTAAATAGTTTGTACCTTCTTTTTTTTTTTTTTTCAGGTTATTTATTTTGAGAGAGAGAGTGCTAGTGGGGTGGAGGGGGAGAGAGAGAGAATCCGAAGCAGGCTCTGTGCTGTCTGCGCAGAGCCCGACGCGGGGCTCGAACTCATGAACTGTGAGATCATGACCTGAGCCGAAATCAAGAGTCAGACGCTCAGCGGACTGAGCCACCCAGGTGCCCCTGGGGCTTCTAATACGAGCCGGGCACTGTGCTAGCCTGGAGGACTCTGCCCACTGCTGTGAGCTCACCTTATTCACACGAATTTGACGGATTGCACAGTAAACCGTACCCGTGCGTTGTCATTTTCCTAGGAAAGACCCGTCCTTAAAATACCCTCCAGCATTTACTGCTAAAGGCCAAGCATAAACTCCATATCAAGTTATGACTTTGACATCCACCACTGCTCAAAGCAACACAGGACCTGTGCCTTGTCTCTGCAGCCTCAACTTCCCACAGCAATCGGCCGGATCCGAATGAGGTCTGAGCGGCGGCTGAGCTCCTGCCAAATGACACTCCACTCTGCTGACAAAACAGGATCCCCATGCCGTTCCTCTTCCTGACAGGTATCTATTTTGAACTCCTTCTAGAGAACGCAGTGACACTTCTCATCCTTGATCTTTCTGGCTTAGTTCCCAGGGAGACCTCCTCATGCTATGTTTTATTCATGGTGTCTCCCAGGCCCGTTTCTTCATTGTTAAAATCAGTGGTGGGGGCAGGGACAATCAATGAACCTGAAATAAAATTTGACTGTCATAACAAAACCCATCCCTTTGTGAGCTCGGAGCCAACAACCAGAGTCTGAGATTCTGGGGAAGGTCTGTGTTTTGAGGATTTTTAAGGCAAAGCATCCAAAGAGGAAAACAAAGAAAAGAACCAAAGTTATTCATATTGTGTCAGAGTAGTGAAGGAAGTAAGTAGGTCAGATAAACCAAAATAATCTTTGCTGGGAAACACGATAAGCTGCCGGCATCTGAGAGCATGGAGAAAAAAGATAGTGTGATAGATAAACACGATGTGCAGCCTGAAAGCAGCAAAGTTACAAAGAGTATACATAGTAAACATTCATTCTACCTTCTCTCTGAGAAATGTCTCCACCATTGACTCTGTCTTTGTCTTTCCTATAATAACACACATCTTTCTACCTCACGAGTTAGGGGTTTGGAGGAGAAAATCTAATACGGGGCTCTTCCGCGTGCCCCAACCATCCGAAACAAAACCAGTGTCCAAGAAGAACAGCGGATAGAGGTTAGAATACTCCATCGCGTACAGCTGATACGTGCCCAGATGCATACCTTAAGAATGATGGTCCTCTCGTGACGGGTGATGTTGACACTGTGAGGCTGTCCGTTGGCCATGTTCCTGTGGTCTACGTCAATGTTGTATGGCTCTCTGGTGCCACCCAGGTTGTACTGAATCTGTAAGCTTCCTGTACAACAAAAAGGAAGGAAACTGTAAGTTTTTGCATCAGGTTTCATTTCAATGTTACTTCCCCCTGGGTTTGCATTCTTCACGATCCACCAATACCATTTCCGTTCTGAACTCGGATGCACCAGCTCAGCGGCACACAGAACGGTAAGGGTTAAGAGCAGCAGGTGCACACGACTTTACAAGACAACAGTGAGCCCTCAGTGACCATCACGTCAAAGCTGAAGCAGCAAATGGTGTCAATGATCCAATCTGGAGCTGGGCCTGGGAGGGGAATGAGAACATACACGATATAGGACCGTGGAGACGCCTGCAGACTGACAAAATACTACGCAGGATGCCAGGACAGTCTCATGCCGTCAGTGAAGTGTGACATCCGGCATATAAAAGAATTATGAGCACACAATATTAAAAATAAACGTAATTTATAAAAGATAAACATGTGGGATAATGGGTGGCTTTGCCCAGACCAAGAAAACAAAGCGATGCATTTTATTCGAGCTTAGAAACTCCATCAATCCGAACACAAATCAAAGGAAAGATGGGCTTCCCAGGCCCCCAAAGCCTTACTTCTTTCTGCTAAGTTCCGGCTCATTTTGCCTCAACAAGTTATTCCTTTTTCCTCTCTGTCTTGATTCTCCCCAGTAATGATAGACAATATTCAAAAAGAGGAATATAATATTCTAGATCCTGCTGTTAATTAATCTGCACAGAGAACATAACTTGTATTTCTTATTTATGGTTTTTACAGGCATCAATTTTTTAATTTCATTTTTAACTCAAATTGGAATCTTCATGTTAATAGCTTTCGACATCCCGTTGCTTAAAGACAGAGCCGGCAAGCTGGCAAGGGTGACCAGCTGTAAATCATCTCAAAGGGTCTTTGGTGCCTTGTTCATTTTCCTGCTAGAGGAACAGAACTGATAGCCTGATCCGTAAATTGTGAAATAAAACATGATAATTAAAACTTAGAAAGTAAACAGCAAGAAAAAAAATAGATAAAGGAGAGTCACAGGAAATCCCACCATCCAGACACAGTTACTCTAAATAGTTTGCAGTATCTTTTTGCAGAAATCGATCATGCCCTTCCATATCCGTAGAAACATAAATAAATGCAACCGTTTCTAAATGCTGCCCTCCCCTATTTAGGCATTGTAGCATTACATGCGTCGTTTAAATACTGCACTGGTGTTCCCGGAATTGAAAGCAGCATCCATTTGATTAATCAAGAATTAATTGTATTTCCTAATTTTGCTTTCTGAACCAATTTGACAAACCTTACCTACTTCTATGTTTTACCTTAGTATTTTATCCTTGGTTTGTTTGCTTAGAGCATTTCAACCAAGCTGTTGATTTTCACCTCCTAAGTGTGTCTGAATTCACCCTCTCCTCCATCTCGGGAAGCACAAGCACATCCTGGCACCAGAGTGCCCTGTGTGGACCCTGAAGGAGCCTTCTTCCTGGCCAAGGCAGACGGGCTGGCCACGTGACATCAGGGACCTGATGGCCACCACTTGAGCTTCACCTGCATCGTCTTCTACCTGCCTTACCTGATGTGAAGCAGTTTCTCCTTAACAATGAGCCCTCTTGGCCTTTGTTGGGGGGGGGGGTCCTCTCTTTCTCTGCTCTTCCTCACTATCAATCCCAGGAAAGGAGAAGTCTTCCTGGCACTTCAAACACAACATATGCAAAACCAAACATTGATCTTCCCCCTCCCTCCCCCAAAGTATTCCATCTCAATTTTCCACCTTTTAGTTAATGGCTACTTGAGGTTATTCCTCTATCTTTAAAATGGCTCTATCTTTAAAATACGCCCTGAGCTTATTTTTTGTCACCTCCATTTCCACCCCCAGGACCACGCCACCACCATTTGCCTGGATTACTGTACTCACCTACATTCTAACAAACCTCCTTGCTTCCGCCATTCCTCCACCTCTCCTACCCCAACCGGGCTCTGCCCCCACAGACCCAGTCGAGGGGAGTCAGAGTGATTCTCTGCTCAGGACCCTCCATGACTTCCAATCTCACTCAAAGCAAAAACCAAGGTCTTCATCATGGCTCACCAGGCCCTACATGATCTTCCCGCATAAGATCTAAGATAATCTCTTATTCTCCTTCCTCTTTGCTACTCCTCACCAGTCCACATTAGCCTTCTTGCTATTTCCTCCAAAGCCAGCATGTTCCTGCCTTAGGACCTTTGCACTGGCTGGTTCTTCTGTCCCGGATGCTCACTTATTCCCAATTATCTGCATAGCTGACTCCTCACCCCCTTTAGGTCTTTGCTCACATGTTGTCCTCTCAGTGATTATTTCTGTGACTGCCCCATTAAAAGCAGAATTTACCCAGTCCTTTTCCTTGGGCAGGGCTTCCCTTTTCTGCCTTATTTTCTCCTCATGAGAGTAAGAATTTTTGTTTATATTCTCTATACTTTATCCTCAATTTCCAGAATAATGCCTGATACTTAGTAGGTGCTGAATAAATGTTTGTTGAATGAATGAATGACGGTCTCCCTGCTTCTGTGTTTTTTTCCCTTTGCAGAGACATTTCTTCAAAATGCATAAATGAGGGTCACCTGGGTGGCTCAGCCAGCTGGGTGTCTGACTCTTGATTTCGGCTCAGCTCATAGTCTTGTGGTTTGTGGATTAAGCCCCATGTCGGAGTCTGTGCTGACAGTGTGGAGCCTGCTTGGGATCCTCTGTCTCCCTCTGTGCCCCTCCTCTGCTTGTACTCTCTGTCTCTCAAAATAAGTAAATAAACATTTTAAAAAATGCATAATTGAGGGGTGCCTGTGTGGCTCATTTGTTTAAAAATCTGACTCCTGATCCCAGCATCATGAGTTCAAGCCCTGAGTTGGGCTCCATAATGGGTGTGGAGCCTACTTAGAAAAAACAAACAAAACCAAAACCAAAATCGCATAACTGATTATTTCACTGGTCCCCAAAAACTCTTCAAAGCCTTCCAGCTGCTCATAGGATGAAGACATACATTTGAAGTATAGTGTATGATGCCCTATCTGATCTGAGTTCTGTCTGTTATTTTCAAATGATGCCATTTACTCTGTCACTTTTTACATTCAAGCTACCTTGGACTTCTATTATCCCCTAGAAAATATAATTCTCCTTTCCACCCCAGGACCTTTGAATACACTGCTCCCTTTTCCTGAGCTGCCTCTCTCCCCACCCTTCAGTGTTTTACTCTAATAGCATTAAAAACAATCTATTGTTTGGGACTGAACAGGAAGTGACTAGCCAGTTGTTTGGTTACATACAGAAAAACAAGTTGATTGTCTTGAGTGTTGATTCCCTACTTCTTGTGCATGGACCGTGTATAATCACAGCCAATTTTCTCAAACACACAGCTGTATTCATTCATCATTTATTTATTCATTTCTTCAGAACACATTTATTCAGTGCCCATGAAAAGCACCGTTGAGTCCAATGTTTCAAGGCTTGAAAGTGGGCTGTCTGGCTGGCTATCAGTCCACATCTACCACCCACATCCATCCCCAGCCCCCGGGCGTGGGCCCGTGTCTGGCCCTGGGGGTACAAAGAGAAGGAAGGCCAAGTCCCGCCTTTGAGGGCTAGAGGTCAGAGGAACTGGTACTTAGGCAAAAACCCAGACATCTTCCTCCCTCCCCTCTTTGTCATCGGTCTTTTTATGTTCCCCAGCTCGTTAAAACCACTATTAAGCTGTTTTCATTATTTTTTCTCTTTTCTGCCTTTCTTTCTTTGTAAATATGATTTAAAATTTCCGTAACTGCCTCACTTAATGGCAACTGAAATGATTTGCTTTGAGAAAACTGACGAGTTGGAATGTTGAATTTATATGTAGTGGATATCCATAAACGGTAATGGCAATATTCTTGAATAATAAAATTTAAATGATATATTTATTCCTTTCAAATAACAGTACAAGAGAACCACTAAATGATGGTAGGGAGAATATTAATATTTTCCATTAATATAAAATATTATTAAAATGGAAAAATACCTCTCTTGCATCTCATGTTCATCTCCGAAGTGAATTAAAGCGGGTATAAGGGCCTGCTCTTCTATTGGCTGCAGGAAATAATGTGCTTAACAGATTTACTGTCTCCTGGCCGTCATCATTATCATCCACAAACACTCAGGGAGCACCTACTGGAGGCAGGAGATGTAGTGCGGGGGGCTTTCCATCGTTTCATCTCGCTGAGAAGATGGGGCAGATTTATAACAAAGACGGATGGCAATACGGTGCACTGAGTGGCAGACAAATGACATTGAAAATAAGCGTAATAGAAGTTGAAAGTAAGGAGAAGTCATTGAAAGGAGTTGATCTTGATCTAGAATGAAAGACGGGTGTCACACGGAGCTCTTCGGGACAAGGCGGGAGACGGGGTGTCGCCCGCGCTTGGGGAGCGAGGCGAGGAGGGGGTGCGGCCCTGCGCCCTTGGCGGACCGCGGGCGGCGGTGCCCGCTGCCACTTACCCGCACGACGGGGCAGCGCCCCACATGTGCTCCCCGGATTTTCACAGCGCGCCTGCGAGGGAGACCCCGTTTTAGGGAAGACGGCAGCGGGTGTGCAGCGGCTGACGGCCCAGGATCCCACAACCCGCACGAGGCAGAAGCAGATTCAAACCCGGACGTTCCGGCTCTACACTCGGGGCTCTCACCCCGGAGCCCCCTGGTCTCAAAGGGCAGGCTGCGGGATCTGGGGTTTCTCCGGCCCTTCCTGGGGGAGGAGGGCGCTACCGAGGCGTGACAAGGGCCCCTGTGCGTGGGGGTCGTGGCGGGAAGAGCGGGGTGGGAGGGGCTGACGCAGGGAGGGGGAGGGGCAGAGCCGCCTCGCGCATGCGCCCACGAAGGGGTAGCAGGCGCCTGGAGCCCGTGTTGGAGAACCTGGGTTGTGGCCTCGCAAACACATCCTAGTCCATCTACTCAGGCGCCAATCACAGGTAATAATTTCCCACGCGGGCCGCGGCAGGAACGATGTCGGGGAGCACTGAAGTCAGGGACATTTGCCAGGAGGCCAGCGGCGGAGAAGAAAAAGGGGTTTTCCCGAGGGACGCGATGTGCCTGGAATCCGCAGGACTTGTTGCCTGGGTGGCCCCCCAAACAGGGATGGCGGAGCATTTGGGAATTCGGGTGTCTGGGAGGGGCCGGCACTTTCAGCAGCGGAGGGTCTGGGGGAGGCCTTCAATGCCTTACGTTGGAGGGGTGCCAGGGCATTCCCTCAAGGCTTCCTAGTTTTTTATTTTGGCCTGATATTTGGGCATAGTCCTTACTGATTTTTTCCCCTGAATGAATTCTTCCATTTTTTTTCTAACTTTAAGTATCAATTATTAAGAAATCTAGTGTTTGAAGTGTGAGAAAAACAAATTTTCATTATCAATTATTAAAAAATTTTAATGTTTATTTTTGAGAGAGAGAGCGAGTGCAAGCTGGGGAGAGAGAAAGAGAGAGAGGATCCGAAGCAGGCTGCACACTGTCAGCACAGAGCCCAATGCGGGGCTCGAACCCACAAACCTCGAGATCATGACCTGAGTGGAAACCAAGAGTTGGATGCTTAACCCGCTGAGCCACCCACACTTTGTTAGAAAAACAAATTTTCACCAGCAGTTTGAGGATGGCCTTGAAAAGTTAGAAAGAATCCATCTGGCCATGCCTTCCAAATGCATGGAGGGTTTTCTAGAACTCTCTGCAGTGTGGAGAGAGTGGTAAAGATCTCGGGGTCTAGAGTCAGATTGCCAGCTGGGTGTGCAAGTCACTCAACCTCATTGTACTCCAGTTCGATCCCCTGTTGAAAGGGGATAAAGAGTGCTGTCGGCTTTGTAGTTGTGTGGCTCATAGGAATTAATGCAGGTGCAACACAGTGTACCTTGGGGCGCCATTAAATGGTAGCACCAACATGGAACTGATTAGGTGAAACCCTTGCACATGAAGAAGTGCACAAACACAGGCATGAGTGGGAATGGGAGTTACTGATGTAGTTGGGGTCCGCGTTTCAATGCGGCAGTGACTGAAAGAGTAGATAGTACAGCATCTTCTGAGAAATGTTCGTAAAGTCTTGATAAGCCATATGTGCAGCACCGCTGGGCTCTGGGAGGTTGGGACACGTGGGTGGAGAACATTAATGCATTAAAAATCCGTTTGGGGCGCCTGGGTGGCTCAGTAGGTTGAGCATCCGATTTGGGCTCAGGTCATGATCTCACCACTCGTGGGTTCGAGCCCCGCATTGGGCTCTGTGCTGACAGCTATCTCAGAGCCTGGAGCCTGCTTCAGATTCTGTGTCTCCCCCTCTCTCTGTCCCTCCCCTGCTCATGCTCTGTCTCTATCTGTTTCTCAATAATAAATAAATGTTAAAAATTTCTTTAAAAAAAAATCCATTTAACCTGATCTAGGGGGAAATAAACTTAACTCATGAACTTCTGGGAAGCAGATGCTATGTTCTTTATTCTTTGCCTTCCTCATTGATTTTACTTATTACCTTTACTGATTACAACAGTGACACTTGCTCACTGAGAGCATCTGACACTTATAAAACAGTGTTACTCTGGAGACGCAAAACAACAAACAAGAGGCACTTTGTGCTCATATTATGGTGTTTTTATTTTCTATCCATATTTCTTACAGAGCTAAGCTGATATTGTATAGTTGAGGCTATAGCTTGCCTTTTTTTGTTGTTGTTGTTTAACATTGAATTACATAAAATTTTTTCCTCCACACTCTTTTCTGCATTGTTCTCCATAAATATTATTCTTAATGGATACACAGTGTTTCTTAAAATGCTGACTCCCTCTTTTACTAACCATTTTACTACTGGTGAACTTCGAGGTCCTTTCTCAAACTTATTTTTACAAATGATACTAAGAGGAACATTCTCATGCTGCATCTTTGTCTGGTGTTTGGCTTATTTTTTTCATTAAAAAATTTTTTTTATGTCTTTATTTTGTTTTGAGAGACAGAAACAGTGAGTGAGTGGGGGAAGGTCAGAGAGGCAAGGAGACACAGAATCCAAAGCAGGCTCCAGACTCTGAGCTGTCAGCACAGAGCCCGACGCGGGGCTTGAACCCACGATCCGTGAGATCATGACCTGAGCTGAAGTCGGATGCTTAACTGACTGAGCCACCCAGGTGCCCCTGGCTTATTTCTTTCAGGATAATTTCTGAAAGGGAAAAATCTTAGGACACATACCCTCTGCCCCCAAATGTTTTAACCCACAATGAATTGTCCAGAGAAGAAGTCTTAAAATTTAGTAGGTTTTAAAACTCAAGCTGACCTGGGTTCAGAAGGATAGTTTTTGCTCCCACGGGAGACAATCCTGATCTTTAAGAATAACCACTGCAGAGCAAGACGGTGTCTGCAAAGAGAGAGGTAATGTCTACTTTCTCAGCGCATATAATCTCTCTGGGAAACAAATGAGAGAGGTTTGCTCCCTGATATACCTACAATATTTTTATTTGTGAAAAAGTGATCTTATTAAAACTTTTAAGTGTCTTAGAATTAAAATTTCCTGAGAGGAATGGAACCCTCCATGTTCGGCATGTTTATATATTTTAGGACTGCTTGGACTTCCCTGGAAGATCGTAAGCCCACTGGTGTATTCACACAGAATGGCCACTATAGTCGTCCTCTGACCCTCTCGAGTTCCATGCCTACTTGGAGATCAAGATGGCCCAAGACATTACAAGGGTAAATACACTCCTGTTGTAAGGAAGTTGTATGCCAGGGATATATTTTATGAACGTAAAATTCTAAGACGGTTTAGGAAGGAAAACATCTCTGTTTTTCTATTTCTATTGAAAGTTACATATGTTCTGTAGGAACCTACTGATACATTATCATAAATCAGGATAATTCATTGATTTATATTAAATGAATTCCACTGCTTCAAAGCTTATCTCTATTTAGTATAGCAGTGAATGTATTTATTTGACAGGAACAAAAAAAGTCTTCACACATATGAAGCCATCTAATATTCATATTCATGTAATATGATTCTTATAAAGAAGGTGGCACGCCTTAACAACATTATTGTAACACATTGCCAGGAAGCACTCAACTGACAAGTTGCTTTCTTGGCTCCCTTGTGGGGAAACGGGGTTCAAAGACGTTGGGTGACTTGCTCAAGGTCCTGTGGGGAATAAAGGACAAGGCAAAAGGAATCTAGACTTTCTAGAACATTCTATTGACCCAACATTAAAGAGCAGAGGTTAGGCATCCTCATCCTTACCGGTGGGTTTGATGAGAACGGCCAAGAAGTCTGTCGTGAAAGAACTGACATAGAGGAGGATGCAGGGCGCCTTGGTGGTACTGAAGCTGAAGTGGATCCCCTCGTGGGCCAGGTCCGGAGGGGAGTTGTTCTGATCAGGGGAGATGTCTGACCTGGTGCCCGTATCTTTGGCACTGGCCCCCGATGCCTGGAAGTTATACCGGAGCCACATCCCCTCTTCAAAAAATGCGCCGACATCTGTTGGAAAGAAAAGGACAGAGACCATTGAAAAACGAGGAGAAATCGGATATCCTGACACCGTTGACAATTTAAGCTCTGGTAGACAGTTAATTTTGTAGTAGCCTCAGTTCATAGAGGGCAGGTCCTGACTCTGGGAGGCGATCAGATTGAGCTAAGAGATGGATCTTGTTTCATCAATAGGAATAACCTATAAAAAAATCATGTAAGGAGGTCGGTAAATTAAAAAAATATTAATAAAAATTAAGAAACTGAAATCATACTGGAAAAAATTTTCATGTCCAGTACTTAGGCCAAAGAACTAATTTAGGTAGAAGAGATAACTTTGGAAATAAAGGCAGTGGGATAACATAAACACCAGTTTAAGGAGCTTCTGGGCATCCTCTTTGAGACTGGAGTTGGTCTGGATGTTCACAAAGGAGAGCCCTCCACAAAACCCTGGGGAAGTCCCGGGAGGCAGTGAAGCTAGAGAGAACTGGGTTCGAATCTGGCCATAAATTAGCTGTGTGGCTTTATGGGAAGTTACTTAACTAATTTCTTTTTCTTTTTTTTTAAGTTTATTTATTTTGAGAGTTGGAGAGTGCAAGCAGGGGAGGGGCAGAGGTAGAGGGAGAGAGAGAGAATCCCAAGCAGGCTCTGCACTGAGCACAGAGCCTGATGCAGTGCTTGAACTCACAAACGGTGACATCATGACCTGAGCCCAAACCAAGAGTCAGATGCTTAACCCACTGAGCCACCCAGGTGACCCTTAACTAACTTCTTGAGGCCTCAGTATTTTATATATGAGAGACTATAATAATGAAAATTGCAAAAGATAATGTGAAGTGATCAGCCCAAAATAAATAGTACCTATTACTATTATTACTATTAAGAAGTTAGAAGAACAGTTGCTAACCCTTCATTGGTATTTGTCGATGCCTAATCTTTGCAAATTGGTTCTTAATCACTTCCTGGTAGACCAGGTCCTCTGATGATTTGCCCATTGTTTGCTCCCCAGTGCTCCAAAATCACCTCCTAACTCAGGGCAAAAGCCTGAGGTTCCCTCTTCAGCTTTGGTCTTCGTTGTTACGGCTCCCTTGCCCTCTGCATGTGACCTTCTGAACATGTTTCGCAAACTTCATTGCCCATGCGTGGAACCTGTTATTCTCACAACACCCGACGTCCACTAAATTAACACCGTGAAGAACACATTTTGCGAAACACAGCTCTACATTGTCATGAATAGGAGAGGACAAATTCCAAAAGGATTCTTTCACCTGGAAATTCAGAAGTTTGTTCCTGTTAAATAATTCTAGAACAGATTCAGCACAGCGTGGTGAATCAGGGTCTGGAGTCAGACACCTGTGGACGGATCTGGACCTACTTACCGTGTCAACTTGCTAAGCAACATGTTAGCCTGTTAAGCAACCTGCAGTGTGTGAGACTGTCTTACATAATTAAGAGCCACCTTGCTCAAAATGCAAGTGCCTTTGATGGGAGACACAGGATGAAACGCCGCTTAACCCACACTAGTCACTGAATGACTTACTGGGATGTCAGATGCCACACTTGAAGACCTACTTCTGTCGGGCAGTGGGCATGGGAGACACATGTCAACAACTTGAAATCTTTCTGGTGAGTGTTATGGAGGTCAACTCAGCAGACTCTGTGGTAAGAACCCCCATCTCTACCTGGAGGATCCTGAGTTGGCTTTCCCGTGCTTTCACCAAATGTTTGTTGGGTGCCTTCTGCTGTGTGCTGAGGTTACAATCTCTGCTCCCAAGGAGCCCTTGATCTAGAGGATTTAGACTACCAGGCATCATCAGAAGGCAGTGGGGGAAGCACAGGACCAGGTAATACAGGGGGCCCTGGAATATGAGGGGCACCAAGCCTGTCTCCAGGGGCCAAAGAAGATGCCTTGGAGAAAAGACATGGAAGCCGAGACTCAAAGAACCAGAGGCTCTATAAACATGGCGGGGAAGCCCAGCTTTCCAGGTGAGGGAGCAGCGTGCATTAATGCTTGGAGCAGAGACAGTGCAGTCGGAGGGATCATGCGTCGGGTGAAAGACATGGTCTTTTTACAGTATCAGTTGTTCATGCAAGACTCATTAGGCCCCCACTACATTTTAGGTTGGGTGTTGGGGAAACAGTGAATGAAGAAGAGGTAATCGCTGCGCTCAGCAGTTCAGAGTCCAGAGGGACGGACGGACATTCCTAGGCCAGCTGCTGTGAAAGTGTCTAACAGATGGTAGGGGCTGGGATTGGGGGGGGCAGTCAAGGAGAGCAAGCAGGGCAGGTCACCTGAAGCAGACACCCCAGGGGGTTCACCGGGCCACCAGAGGATGAGGGCTCATGATTTGAGAATGTGTTTGGGCCATGTAGGAGGCATCATCTGTAGCTGGTGCCTGGAGGTCTCGGAGTCCTCTGAACAAGCCAGAGGCAGAGAGACAGGGGCAACGTATTGGAAGAGATAAATGTATCTGGCACTTGAAACTCAATATCGAGGCCCTAAGAACCTGGGCCTAGGGAGAGCTTCCAGGCAGCAGAGGCTGAGGAAGCAGGTAAAGCTGTGGGAGCCCCAGGCACCCCAACTACAAGTGCCACATGTTGCTGGCAAGAACCCAGGCTTCCCCGAGGCACCTCCAGTCACTGCACTTCCAGAGAGTGGGCTGAACCAAGCCCCCGATAACATGTCTCTGCCAAAATGCTGGTTTTCAGGCCTATCTCTGGAATTTTGCTCAGAGGACCCAACTCAGAGGGTCTTTGGAACTGCAGGTAAAACAGATTCCACAGACGATGCTTGTGCACACAGTGGTTTGAGATCCTGGGAGCCTAGGCCGAGGCAAGACAGCGCACCCAGCTGAGGAGGTAGCTGAGCGGAGGCGGAGTGGGACTTGATGCATTCCTCAGCTAGAGGGGCCACCGCCATTCCAAGGTGGATCATGAACAGAGATTTAGAAAGTGAAGGGTTTTAGATGAACCAACCAAAAAATATGCTACAGAGAATACTTCTGGTGTGTTTTAGAGTCATCGTTAAAAAGCTTTATGGATTCATGTCAGTTTGGAGGAAGGAAAATACCAGGCTTAAAAGTGTTATTCTGAAACCACATCATAAACCAACTGTTAAGTCAGGGCCGGGAGTGCTGTGAACCACTTTGGTATCTCAGCGGCAGATTTACAGCTGTCATTTCACTGTTGCACGTGGTTTTTAAGGAAATACCAAATCAGGGTATGCAATATCATTAAGGAAAGGAATACTCTCATCCTTTCTGAATGAATGACCAAAATAACACTAATTTAACAAGCCCCAAGTAACATCTTTTCCCTCACTAAATGATCAAAAATTATTGATTTAGAATGCTTAATTTATAGTTTTATACTAATATGAGATGGTTTACGTTTTATGATGTTCATTTTTTTAGATAGAAAAAAATGATAAACTTGGAGCCTTGTTACTCTAAGATGTATTATAAAAGAGCTTTGTGGAATTATATCATGTTTCTCAAAATTCCAAACAACAGTATATCATCTGCAGACTCAGGATCATAAGGATGCCAGAAACCTGGAAAGCGGGCAAGCTACCTTGTCATAATCATTTCTTGGTTCTTGAAATAGATCCCTGGTTGACGAAGAAAAGTCTGCAAATATTTGGAATAAAATCCACAAACTGTCCATCCAGAATAATAACATAAAGATAAACTTTTCCTTGTCTAACCAAATTCCTGACGTTTACCATGGAAAAGCAATGCCACTCACCTCTGTTAGTGTTATTTATTTATTTGCTTGTTTGTTTATTTATTGACACAGAGAGAGAGAGACAGAGAGAGAGAGAGAATGTGAGCAAGTGGAGGAGGGGCAGAGGGAGAGGGAAAGAGAGAATCCGAAGCAGGCTCCATGCCCAGAGCAGAGCCTGACACAGGGCTTGATCTCATAACAGTGAGGTCATGACCTGAGCTGTGTGAGATCATGACCTGAACTGAAATCAGGAGTCTTATACTTGATTGATTGAGACACCCAGGTGCCCCACTTACCCCCATAATTAAATGGTCCCTTATCTTTTCCTTCTCACGTTCAAGAATCCCATTTCTTTTTGCCTTTCCACTTAGGATATATTTTGCAACCTGGTTCTTTTCATTCTCTCACTTCCCCACGAGCATCTGGAATTGAAAGTCCCTAATTCTCCAAATGGGCTCTTTTTCAAAAGTTTATTTTAAAGTCAGTAACTTGCAACTTGGACATATTTCCCCACAGGAACAATGCCGCAAGTGATGGTTAGTTGGCAGGGAGAGTCCACCAATGCTGAATAACCAACTGGATGCATAATACGTGAGAACTGAAGAGTACCATCGTGTCAACCATTGAAAAACAACAACAACAAAAGCCAAGGTTTATTTTGAACGTGGGAATTCCAGGGAACTCTGCTCCCATGAGTATTTTATCTGATGAGTCCAGGGGCACACCGGCAAATGTGAAATGGCTAGTTCTCCGGGTAGGGGAGCCCTGACTTATAGTGTTTGCCTATCGCCATGGTGTCAACACCCCCAGCCGGCTGATGTCAAGCTGCTAGCACATCGCTCATATGGAGCGGAGAGGAGATGAGCACAACTGGTCTCCCAGCCTGTGTGGACCGCCCCCAGCCCGTGATCTCGCATAGTCACTGACCCAGTCCCTCAAGCGAACCACATTGTTGGCCATAACTGGGCGGCTCAGATGACAGAAGTCTATTTTCACAGTTCCGGAGGCTGTAAGCCTAAGATGAGGTGCTGGTGGATTGTTTTCCCAGGGGTGGTGTCTATTCCTGACTTGTAGACAGACATTGTTCTTGCTATATGCTTACAAGGCAGAGAGAGCGAGCTGGGGATGGGGGAGTTCAGGGAGAGAGCACTCCTCCTCTTACAAGGGCACTAATCCCATCCTGGGAGCCCCACCCCCACGACTTCAGCTCAACCCAAGTATGACTTCCAAAAGCCCCATCTCTACACAATGTCGCACTGGGGGTTAAGGCTTCAACACAGAAATTT